TGCAGCCGCAGCCCCCAACTCCCTCCAGGAGCCACTTTGGGTGGGGATTGTGTCCCCCTTCACAAGTTAAATGGGTAGAGGCCTGGTCACTACTTGGATGGGAGACCTGGAGTGAACAAATGAGCAGAAGGGGGAGCACAGTAGGGGGCGCTGTCCCCTCCCAGGCAGTGCTGACCCCAATGCCCCAGCACGATACCAGGGGTCCCAGGGCTCCCTGCACCCGCTTTCCCCTCACACCAGGAAGTCCTAGGGCCAATGTCAAGGCCTGGGAGCTGGGGAGCTGTGGCTTTAGGGGAAGTGCTGAGAGACCCTGTGCCCAGGGGGTTGGTGCCGGTGCTGACGCCCGTCTCCCCGCAGTGGAGAACATGCTCTCCCAGGTGGCCTTCTACCAGCGCACGGACCCGGCCCAGCAGGCGTCCGGGGAGTTCATGTTCGAGTTCGACCAGGACGAGATCTTCCACGTGGACCTGGAGAGGAAGGAGACCGTCTGGCGCCTGCCCGACTTCAGCAAGTTCACCAGCTACGAGGCGCAGGGCGCCCTGGGCAATATCGCCGTGCTGAAGAAGAACATGGAGATCATAATCCAGAGATCCAACCGCACGCGGGCCCAGATCGGTACGGCACAGAAAGGGGGGCACCTTCTCTGCCAGGCATCCCTTCCTAGTCCCGCTCACCAGTGGACCCTCCCAGTACCAGCCCACACCAGAGACTGCGCGTCCCCACTCAGCTCCCCTCCCAGCCCCTGGAGGGCTCCGGGGAGCCAGTCAGCCGGGCCAGGGCTCTGCAGGGCAGGGGGCCCCGAGCAGTTCACACCTCCCAGGCTGGGGGCCCAGGGCAGCTCCTTTGCCGAGGGCTGTTCGTGGCCCCTGCCCGGCACCAGGCCCTGCCCCTGAGGGATTCTCTCCCCTGCCCCTTGTGCCCCACGAGCCATCAGTGCAGGGAGCTGGGACAGCCCCGGTGATGCCCCCACAGTCCTGGGGAGAGACCCTGAGCTGGAGTGTGAGCACCAGGGACTGGCTGGCTCAGGGGGGCAGGGAATGGGGCACGGGG